CATTCTACAAGTAAAGTAAGTTCTAGTAGCAAAGTTGAAAGCTACTACTTGCTAGTGGATAGTCAAGAGGTAGAAAATATCTCTAAATATCTTGTAGAATATCTAGTAAGTTTGGCTATAAAAAGAGCCAATTTGTAAGAGAAAAATATGTGGGAATAAATGAAGGATTTGTTATAGAAAAACCATCTTTAACAATGTAGAACTCAAAGTTCCTTCCTCCTCTGATCTGTTCTTCAAGGACGGCAGAGTATATGCATAAATTCATATGTTTTTCTTATGTTTTATGCTTGAAAAAAGCCGGTAAGCTATGCATCAACCGGTATACAATTCATGTTTTGTTAAGTCTTCAATACACTCCTCCATACACAAAATCAAAGATGTTAAGGGCTCTTTTAAAAGAGTCTTAGATCAAAGTCAAAATCCCAATAGTTTTTTAGTCGTATTTGTCAGTCTCAAGATGTGGTACATGTAGGATAGTTGCGTAAATGGAATCTTCGAAAGGGACAGTCTGCCAAGCTCAAGAGGGCCCCATTCTTTGCACCAACAACTGTGGTTTCTTTGAAAGTGCTGCCATGATGAATATATGTTCTAAATGCCCCAAGTCAATGATTTCAGAACAGCAACAGTCAAAACTTGCAGCTTTTTCCATTGAGAGCATTGTTAATGGTAGTTCAAGCAGCATTGAGATAGAGCCAGTCTTCGTTGACATGGTGGATGTGCAAGCTAGAGCTGTGGAGCTAAAGACTGCTTCTAACCCTGCATCCTCGAATTTAGCATCAGACAGGTTTTCAGACGTGAAGGCAAAAGAAGGCTCCAACAGGTGCACCACTTACCACAAGCGTTTAGGTGTAATGGTTTTCAATTGCAGTTGTGGGAATCCTTTCTGTTCAGTTCATTGTTACTCGGACAAACATGACTGCCAATATGATTATCGGACTGCTGCTCGTGATGCTATAGACAAAGCAAATCTTGTTGTTAAAGCAGAAAAGTTTGAAAAGATCTAATGTATGGTCATAAGTTTATGAAACGAAGTGTGATGCTTTGTCTTTATATACATCCGCATCTTCATATAAGTTAGCATCTTATCTTATTTGGTCTTCCATAGTGATGTCGGATGGTCTAAGGCCAGAGGGTGGCCATTATTAAGATCTAAGAATTTCGGAGCCCTCCTTGATTGGCTTGCTCAGTATGCAAGTTGTTTGTGCTAGCTTGAGGACAACCTTGTGAATTGTGATTTGCCCTTTACTCAGGATTTTCTCTCATTGTGCATATCAAATGCCGTGTGCGTGATTGTATTTAAAAATTTGGGAAATAATATTGATATTCCATTTATTACGTCTTTTTCAAGTAAAATGCATTTTAATAAATCATATAATATGAGATATAATAGATTTAGAAAGTAATTTTTCCTTGCGTACTCGTCGTTTTTAGTGTAAATAAGCTTTCCCAAAAGTTTTTTCGAACTGCCATTCAACATTCGCAAGTGTTATAACTATGTCATTGAATTGTAAAAGTTCTTGGAGTTGTCGCAGAGCCTTTTCAATTGTTTTCAAATTGTCATTGAACTTTAAGAACCCTTTGAGTTGTTATTGAACTTATTAAAATGTTATCTCTGTTGGAATTTCGTTTAGAGAATGAAATTAAGTATGTAAAAGTAACGTTTGTGTCAACTTCGACCAAATATTCGGATTTAATCCGATAGTCAAATTATGAATATAAATATACTAACTTTTTCTACTCTTCGTGATGTATTTGAAATCTCAAAACCAATTCCGAATGAATGAAAAATTACGGTCCAAATTTGGATAGAAAAGAGATAACATTTTAATAAGTTCGCCTTAAAGTGACTATCTCTATCGTTCGAACGATAGGCTGAAAAATAACTATTTCTATCGTTCGCCTATCGTTCGAGCAATGGGATTGTCGCTCGAGCAACAGTCTAGTGACATGCTAGCGAGAGAAATTCTGATGAAAACGTGTCACTGTTACTCGAGCAAAAGGCCAGCGACAGGCTAGCGACAGTAAATGCTACAACCTTTGACAAAGGTTACTGAGTTTGGGGCACGGTATTTCACTCACAACATTTCCTCTTCTATATAAAGGACATTTGGACGTCTATTATGCATCTCATATCATTTTCATTGAGCATAATACCAAAAACCCTCGCAAAATACTCTCCAAAAGTCATTCTAAAACCGTTTTTTCGTGTAGAGAGAAAAATTCATTCTAAATTCGATATTACTTGTGGTTTGAAGTGCTTGTACTACGAGTTATATCCATTGTATCTTGGGAGACAAGTTCTGTAGTCTGTTAGCATCGTTGCGAGACAATATTGTCTTAAGGAGAAAATATTTTTACTTGTCTTGAATTTTGTTTTCCATTTGTTTTCTTCTTCTTATTTCTTTTTATAGTTTAATTACGCTCCTGCGAATTAAACTAGTATAATTCCTTGTCTTGAACAACCATTTACATATTCTACCGTACATCTACCAAAAATCTTAAGACAATATCCATTTTTTGGTTGTTATATCCTTTCTTCATCTTTGGAACAAACATTTGTGTGCTATTAATTTTTTTTTTTTATACGTTGAACTTCTGTTTATAACATAAATGAATCCCGTTGAGACTCATTCAAGTCAAACAACAAATGGTACGAACCATGTGATTCCGCTTTTGGCCATACCTATATCAAGCTCTCACATCCTATATGGGAAAAAATCGGAAAAATTTGGAGGTATGGATTTTAAAAGATGGCAACAGAAGATGTTGTCTATCTTACTACTTTGAATTTGACAAAGTTTCTAAAAGAAAGGGCTCCTATTGTACAAGAAGGAGAAAATAATCGTGGATCGATTATTGCATTAGATGCATGGAAGCATTCGGATTTTCTTTGCAAAAATTACATTCTAAATGGATTGGACAATACACTTTATGAATTGTATAATTCAATGGACTCGACCAAAGATCTATGTGATTCATTGGAAAATAAGTACAAAATCGAGGATGCCGAAACAAAGAAGTTCATTATTGGCAAGTTTTTGGACTACAAAATGGTATATTCCAAAATCATGATAAGTCAAGTACACTAAATTCAAGTTCTACTACATGACATACATGCTGAAAAGATGAAATTGAGTAAGTCTTTCGAAGTTGCTTCCATCATAGAGAAACTCCTTATGTGGAGAGATTTCAAGAACTATTTCAAGCACAAACGCAAAGAGATGAATCTGGAGAAATTGATAGTCTAATTGAGGTTAGAGGAAGACAATAGAAATACCGAAAGGAAATCTGTTGTTCAAATTGGAGTAAATTTTGTTGAAACTAGTTCGAAAGTTGTCAGCAAGAAACGAATGATGTTCAGTGTGTTACCAAAAAGAGACAACTCCAAGAATGCCAGAAGTTTAAAGGCAACTGTTACAATTGTGGAATAGCTGGACATCGCTCTAATGAATATCGAAAGCCTAAGAAGAACGCAAAAGCAAATGTGGTTGAAAGAGATGCCATTTCTAAAATGATACAAGAGATAAATCTTTTAGTGGTTGTTTCTGAATGTAACAACGTTAAAAATTTAAGAGAATGGTGGGTTAATATTGGTGCTACCTGTTACATTTGTGCTGGCAAGACTATGTTCTCTAACTACAAAGAATTAAATGGAGAACAACTTTTTATGGGAAATTTGCAAGTTCTAAAGTTGAAGGACAAGAGAAAGTTACGTTGAAAATGACATTCGGTAAATAACTCATCATCAATGATGTCCTACATGTACCGGACATTTGCAATAATTTTGTATCCGGGTCTCTACTTACCAAAAATAGCTTTAAACTTGTATTTGTATCCTAGTAATTTGTACTCACTAAGAATGAGATATATATATTGGTAAATGATACTTATGTGATAAAATGTTCAAAATTAACGTTCTTACAATTGTACCGAAACAAAGCATTATGAATAAAACTTTGCATTCTACTTATATGTTTGAGTTGTCTTGTTTANTGTGAAGTATGTGTTGAAGAAAAGTTGGCCACAACACATTTTCATTCAATTCAAGGAACACGACACCTTTAGAGTTAATACAGAGTGATATATGTGACAAATTTGTTCAAACTAAAGGTGGTAAGAAATACTTTATAATTTTCATTGACAATTGTATAGAGTATTGTTGTCTTTCTACTACGAAATAAAGACGAAGCCTTAGATGTCTTTAAACATTATAAGACGAAGTTGAAAATCAACTTGGTAAGTGAATAAAAAGCATTCGTAGCGATAGAGGTGGTGAATACGGGGCACCGTTTGAAGAATATTGCTCCAATCATGGAATAATTCATCAAACGATGACACCTTAGTCACTTGAATCAAATGGTGTTGCTGAACGCAAAAATCGAACTATTAAATAGATGATGAACTCAATCTTGATAAGTTCGGGTCTACCTCAGAACTTGTGGGGGGAAGATATACTACGACAAATAGCATTCTTAACAAATATCTCTTAAGAAAATGAAAGAAACTCCATATTAATTAAGGAAATGTCATCTTCCTTCTTACAAATACTTGAAAGTGTGGGGGTATTTAGCTAATGTTGAAGTACTTAAGCCTAAACAAGTGAAAATCGGACCTAAAATGATTGATTGCATATTTATTAAGTACGCCAATAATAGTAGTGCATATCGTTTCCTTGTGCATAAATCTGAAATTTCAGATATATATGAAGGAACAATAATTGAATCAAGAAATACACCATTTTTGGAAGATATTTTTCCATATTTAAGGAAATAAAATTTCAAATAAAAGAACTTATGATACTACAAATGTCACTTCAAATGAGGAAGAACCAAGTCATAGTAAAAAGACTAGAATATCCACTTTGTTTGACCCAGATTTTATAACCTATATGGTAGAAAATGAACTAAAGACTTTCGATGAAACAATATCTACACCGAAAGCACCACATTGGAATGAAGCTATCAATAGTGAGATAAATTTTATTAATTAAAACTATACTTGAGAGAGTTGGTTGATTTGCCTTCTAGGAACAAGCTTTTAGAGTGTAAATGGATTTTTAAAAGGAAACTTAAATAGCATAGTTATAAAACCCGGCCGGACCTAGCATAGTTATAAAATCCGGCCCGGTCCGAAAGTTCGGCCCAGACCCTTGACCGGTCGGGTAGATTAATTTTATCAAAATGCACTTAACTCGGTCAAAATCGAGCTTTGAACAAGTTAACCGACAATTTACCCAGCCCGATTGTCCAGTTTAATTGAGTTTTAAAATTCTCTTACAAAATTTTAGGATTCAAGGGAATTGAACATTGGACCTCTAAGAAAAATAAAGGGTTCCTCATCACTTGACATATAGTGTTTTAATATTACTTATTTACAAATAACATATATCTATTCAATGAATAACTTATAGGTTTTATGAAGATATTCTTTTAAAAAAATTTGATCCAACATTTTTCTTTATTTTATAGACTCAAATAATTAGTGAAAAATAAATTAAAATTTTTAATTTTGCCTTTAAAAAAAATTTATGCTTTATATTTTTTTGTAAGTTTTTATGTAATGAACAGTGAAAAATAAATTAAAAATTTTAGTTTTGCCTCTAAAAAAAATTTATACTTTATATTTTTTTGTAAGTTTTTATGCAATGACCCACTGGTTGAACCATCGGGTCATCGGTTGAACCACTAACCCATTGTCTCGCTGCATTATTCGGGTTGAGTCTGATAACTATGTTAAATAGGATGAATCCATTGACAAATATAAGGTCAGATTGGTTGCCAATGGATATAGACAAAAATAAAAGGACTTAACTTCTTTGATACATACTCACCCGTTACTAGAATTACATCGATAAGGTTGTTAATTGCTATTGTAGCATTACATAGTTTTGAGATTCATCAAATGGATGTAAAGACAACATTCAAAAATGGTGAGTTAGAATGGGAGATATATATGGAACAACTCGAAGGGTTCGTCTCTCTTAATCACAAACAACATGTTTGTA